ATAGGGAGTGTTTGTTCAAAAAAGACTAGCCTCAAATTTATCACGTAAAAATACTTCCTTCTAGCTGAGAGAAAATACTAGTGATGACGTGAAACTAAATATTACCCGCATAACCGTTTTATCAAGATCCTAATATTATTATAGGATGCATCTAATTCTACAAACCAGACATTGAGACAATTGAAGTTAAGATTTTGAAAGAACCTTTTTTTTTGCATTCTTTATTTGTAGGTTCGTGTAATCCCTGTCTCCTAAGCTGCTTTAGTTTTTTTGGCCCCTAACTAGTGACATAAATCTAATTTTCCTAAACTCTTAAATCTTTTTTTTTTAAGCACTTGACCTTCTTCACGGACACAGATATAATACGACACGATCTTTCTCAAAAAAGTAGGACATGTATACATTGTGGACACGTTATAGATAATTGCATTTAATATAATTTAACACAAATATAGTGATAATGATATATTTTTCATAAATTTTTTTTTAATATTTTATGATAAGTAAATGGTATCTCTAGTCATTTGGTGCGAGTATATAGACTAACATCATAGTAACCAATAATTGTCAATTTTCTTGTAGGCGTATACTACACATATATAATTTAAATGATTGCTCTCATCTTAATTACTCTTTTCTGAATTTTTTACGTATTTTTTGCTTTTATTATTGTATTTTGAGTACAACTTTAACATGTTTAGTCTTAATAATTATATGTACTCTCATAGTATAAGATACTTAATAGTCAAATTTTTAAGCTTGTTAATCACATATGTATTGTTTAGTAGTGGACATGTTTCAAAAAAGTGTTGGACACGACACGAAAGAAGTGTTGGGCATGTCATCAAAGAAGTGTCGGGCACGTGTCTAAAATTAAAATTTTATCATTTAATTATGGATACGGATAAAAGAGTATCGATCATGTGTCTGAGAGTGTCTGAGGAGTGTCGGTGTCCGACACGGATACGTTACATTCTTGAGAGTGTACGTGTTTCATAGTACGTGACTCTTAAACTTCTTATGCCTAACCTACTTGTACTCTAGCCTACTCCTTGGAGTGCGAGATGGGTGCTGCTAAGCAGTTGGGGAGGGCTAACTCGTGGCTGATGCAGCAACCTCAAGTGACCCATCGGATACCCTTGCTACAACACGTAAGAACTTGTCTTCGGCGAGGTTTGAAAGCACAAACTCCAACTAGATGGTGTGAACGCTTGCCAACTAAGCTTGACACAATTGGTTCTTAAGCCTAGATTCTATCAGATTGGCAAAGATTTCATGGTTGTTTGTACGTAGATAGAATCAAAGGAGGCACGGTCGCATATAGGAGGGGGTTTATTTTTTGTTTATGTTGCTGATGTTTTATTTTCCAAGATGTAAGACATGTGAAGGATGGTTGGGCGAATACTATCTTTTCATATCATTAAGTAAGAAGGAGACTATGATGGGGCTTGGGCTTTTGCATCTACAAACTGTTTCCACTCTAAAGTTCAATGGAGCAGTGTTTTTGCATCCAGCCTATATTTATAGGCACTACCATATGAACTGGACATTGAAAGTCTTGATTTTTGTTATTCATTGCTCCTATTTTATTGTAATCCTCATCGCCCGAGCTTCTTTCCATTTTTTGGCGGCTTATTACTAGTGAACCAAATCAATCTGTCCTAAACTTCTGAGTTCATGAATTCCTAAGATGCGATTTGGTAGGGATAGAGTTCGATGACTGTTTAGTAGAGACGGAAACAAAGCAAGAAAGTCTTTGCCATGGCTGTAGAGATTGATGAAGGGGAGGGCTATGTGTTTATCATATTGTGGTTATCCTTATCCATATTTCCTTACTCTAAAGGAATGTGCTGGTAAGCCTGTTGGGGGTTGGTTTTAGGATGACTTAAAGGTGTTTGATGAATGTTTGATACACTGCGTGCTGTATTATCAAAGGAAAAGAAACTGTGGGTATTAGAGGGTTTTATTTTTTTATCTGCAAGCCATTTCTACACTGAAGCTTTGTTAAAGCAGTGTTGCTACATTAGAGATTGTTTTGTTTGTAGAGACTGAAACTTAATTGTTCAAATAAAATTGTGACGCCCCTAAAATCGGAGGTTATTTGACAACCCGTTGACAAGCCATCAACCCGTGGAAACAACCGTGAATGTCACATAGTCTGTTATCACGACACAACATCCCATTTACCGGGATCATTTCCAAACGTGAATGTCACATAGTCTGTTATCACGGCACATCCCTTTTACTGGGATCATTACCAAACCAATATCCTGTATACGTTTAATCACATGACCTTTTCGAGGTCCAACATACCACCATTCACACTCCAGTATTACCTATTTACATCATTTGAATGAAAGGACACATAACCCGAAAGCATAACAAAACATTCTTAAAATTTTAGATTTTTTGGAAAACTTACTAGTGGGTTTTTCATTGTCCTATTGGTAGATTTTGCCCACTGTCTTAGTTCTACTGGTGGGTTTTGCCTACCGGAAAAATTGCACCGCAGAAAAGTGACGTCCTACCTGTAGGTATTACCAAAACCTACTGGTAGGTGTGCCCAAAATTGTGTGATTCACCTGTTTTCGATTTTCAATCCACTCCAATCCATTCTATATCCATCAAAAACATATATAATGAAAATTTTCACATTAAACATGATCAATACAAATTCTATTACATTCATTTTCATGAATTTACATGCTAAAATTAAGTTTTATAGTGATTGTACAAAAACTCAAAATAAAGCTAATGAGAGCCATCCATCGGTATATATCCCGCGCTTGAAATGGTTTTCCTATAAAGGGTGAGCCACGCTCAATTGGGTATGTCCTAAAGAGGCTATTTCTCAACCTAGATTCATATAAAATGTTCACTTGTAACATTTAACAAGCAAAAACCATTTCAATCAAGAATATACAATTCAATGTTAGAAATCACCATGTTATGGCATGAAATGAGATGAGACTCACTCATGCACTTCAACCTGAGCCTTCACCGGCTCCCTTCACCCATGCAATGCTATGGGTTCAAACTGGGCTTTTCAAGCCCTCGCCATTGACGTTATACATCTAATGACTATTTAAAATCTCCGAATCTTCTTTGGGGTGGGTATTTATGGATTTATACCAACGGACACCCAACCGACACAGAATTTATGGAATTCTACCAACGATTCCGCGTACACCGACATATTTTATGGACTATACATCAACGGAGTGTGTATTCAATCACCGGGTCTCTCACCTTAGGGATGGTCCAGCTCTTCTTGCTAACCCCGACCTAATTTTCAATGCAAACATGCTACTCAACCGGATCTTCAATCCAACATTCTCGAGTTCACCCACCCATTATCCACCAAGTGTGGTATTAGATGACAACCATGCACTCTCCCACCAAATGCGATGTCTTCATGCATATGCAATGTAATGTACAATTACAAAATAACAATCATGTCCAATATGCTATGAATGTCATATGGACCAAATCTATTTCATTTTAACATATACCATGGCTAATTATATCATATGCATATAATCACTATAGTTTATCACAATGTCAATACATCATTAACATATTTCAAAATAATAATTCCCAAGCATGTTATTTCAATTTCATCAAAATAACATATCTCACTTATTCATGGCATATTATCAAACACCCAACAAGGCACAAATTTCATGTAAACACATAATATGCCCACAATTCCACATTTCTCAAGAAATTATTACAAGTAACTTTCACATATCAAACTCAAGTTAGAAATTGGTTTTAGATTATTTCTATACTCATTTCCACATTTCAACAACAACAGACAATTGTTAATGTATCTAACAACCTACCCATCTCATATAAACACCCTAGACTGGAAATAAACCTAAGTAGGATAAAACCCTACCTCTTGAAGCGTACAAACGAGTAGTAGCAATCTTCAAGAACGCCAGCCAAGCTTAACCCTTGATTCTTCAAAATTTCATTTTTTAGATCTTTGATGAAATCCCTTCTTTTTTGGTACGTAGGCATAGCCCTCGACGAGGAGATCGACTTTAATACTTGACTTGAGTCGATTGGGGCAATAGAACTTCGTAGATCGTAGAGAGAAATTGGAAACCCTTGTTTTTCTCTCCTTTCCCTCTTTTCTCTTCCAACGTAAAGACCCTGTTGAATGAATAGTGGAGAAATCTAATTTTCTCCTCTATTTATACCCTTTAAATACTTTCTGCATGTTGCGCCACACATCCCTCATTCCCAGGTTTATTTTCGCTCCGAATCGATTAAATTTCGTCATGGTTCAAGTTTAAGACACTTATTTCAACTTGCCATAAATTATCTTCCAACTTTCAAAATTTTATTAAAAATTTCGTTTTTGGGTCACCCGAGACTCAACTGTCTCGTGAAACGCGAAAATTTAACTATCTTAGAATTTGAAAAAATTTGTTTGGGTGATTAGATTTCGTGAGACGAATCCAATGGTGAGGTACATTTCGTCATTTGAGCTCAAAAAAATTTCAGATTTTCAACCCGTACTGAAAATGATAAATTACCATTTTGTCATTTTTTATAAAAAGTTCAAATTTTCCTGGGTTTTACAAAAATGGTTAAATCCTTTTGAGGGAAAAGGTTGAGTTGGGATGAAACTTATTACCAGAATTATCTCTTTGTCCAAATCTCAACATAGTGCCGTAGGATGTAGCAACTTAAGTTTGAGGTGATACTGGGACAGTAAGTGTTAAAGTCTCTAGTTTTTCAATTTTTCATTCCTGATTTGCGGATTAATTTTTCATTCTTGATCTGTAGGATCTCATGATCCTTGTCTTCTAAGTTTCTTTCAATTTTTTTTTTCAAGTCATTAGATGTGGAGATTAGGATTTGACCATAAGCATTGTAGTATTCTTTTTGAAGGTTTACATGGTCAGGTAATTCAAATAACGGAATGGAATCGATTTGGATCCTTCTCATGCTCCTTGAACAAGAGTTGTGTGAGATGGATGAAGGAGATGATTGCCGCTGCTTCATATTGGAATGGGATTGATGTTTTCTTCAAGAAATTCAAAAGTGATGGTTATTGTGCGTGGATTGAATTGGAGAAAAGTAAGTGTGGAGAATATGCTAGGGTTACTTAGATGATGAATAATGGTAGAATGAAGGGGATGAGTATTCCCAAAGGATTTCAAGGAAGGGGATGTGACGCTTTTAGAAGATTGTTGGAGAATGCTAATCTTAGTGGTCAATATCCTTGGTCAGAGGAGAGGAAGAGTAGAGGGTGGGTTAAGGCCCTTGGATGCAAAAAAGTTGAGAAGCAAAATAGGGGGTGGGTTAATGTTATCAAAGATAAAGTTTCTAAGTATGTTAAGGGGGATAAGTTTATGCTAAAAGAAGAGGAAAAATGGAGATGTGCTGTGGTTTGTATTAGGGAGAGTCTCTTTGTCCCTTGGAAAGCCATTTAGAATCACTTGGTTAAGTTTCTGCAATTGGAGGTATCTTTGCAACATTTTCAAGTTGATGAAGTGTTATTTTTTTGTGGAAATATAGTCCAGGTAGAAAAGATCTGTAAGAGTGGATTAATCCATATGGAAGGTGATGCTGTTGTGAAGCTTCAATGATGGTGTCCAGAATCCAATACCAATAGGAGTCAAGTATCGTTTTTGGGAGGATGGATAGTAGTGGTAGGATTACCTTTCCACCTATGATAAAGAGAAGTCTTTAAGAAGATTAGAGATTGGTGTGGGGGGTTTATAGATGTTGATTGAGAAACCGAAAGTCTTTAGAATCTGGTCGAGGCACAAATTCGTGTTCATAAGCCGTCTTCGAGTCTCCTCAAGACTTTGTACCAAGTGGATTTCAATGGAGAATCCTTCCCGATTAGGGTTAAGGTATTATTGAATTTGGAAAGTTTCAACCGTTTTCAGAAGATGAGGTTACTGGAAATGGTAGAACAAAATTTCTTGTAACCAAAGGGAGGTTGAAGATGATAGAGAAGGGTTGGGTGGTTTACGTGGCAACTGGAGAAGGAGGAGGGATGAAAGCTTTGGCGCAACAAGGGGTGAGAATAGTTGTTCATAGTTGATGTTGGTTAAGAGTTCAACTAATGACACAATTAGTGCCCCAAATCTTGCTGATTATAGAGGAAAGGAGATAAAGAAGACATATCTGATTTTTTAAAAAATAGATGATTCTGGATTAGGGAAGGGTAACTCAAAGGAGATGGACTGACATGTGTAATAAGGGGAACATGGGCTTGGTATTAAAGTTACCCATTATGAAAGGAATTGTGGAAGGAGGAGGGACTGGGATAATTGGGTTAGAGGAGGTGGGTACAAATTTTGGGCCCTTTTAAATCGAAGATTGTGGGAGATTTTAATAGAAATTTGCTAGTGGCCCAACCAATGAGTAAACCCCAGTGGCCCTTGGGTTAAAGACATCGACGAGAGGAGAGAAATCTAGGGTTGTACTTTGTCAAAGTGAAGAGGTGATGACTGTCGATGATGTTTGTCGAAAACATTAGGCAACTGGTAAGGAGATAGGGATGATTGACAATGGATGCGAAATTGATGACTTAGACAATATGCAAGAAAATTTCGAAATAGGGTTTGGAAGCATGGATGAAGAGTTATAGTGGGAGCAAACCTTAACTATTGAGGAAGGTCACTGTGATGCTTTGAATGCTAAGATGAATTCATATAGGAGTGATGACACTGATAACAGCTACAAGGCGCTGTTGAATCGATGCGATATTGGTCATGAGAGGGTACATATCGAGAAAATATATGACGACATGGCAAGGCTCTTCGTCGTAGAAAAAACTAACGAAGTTCAAGGTGATGATCAACGTGCACGCCAATAGATTTGTGAGGTAATTGTTAATTCTCTTCCTTGTACTTTAGAAGGTAACAAATTACCCCAAAAATCTTCATTGATGTTTTCTTCCTCTAGTTTATTGCCTTCTTGGGGAGTTAGTGTATCTGTCCCATTTTTTTCTAAACTCGGTATTGATGTCAAGGGGATAACGGTGAGGAAGTTGGAGTTATTGGGGAAGGGGTCGATTTTTGAAGGACAGGAACGGGGGAGAAGATGGTTTCCAGTAATTGTAATGTAAGTTGGGCCTTCTGAGAAGGGTTGGGGGATTCCTAGGGAGAATGGACTTTTGTTGAGTTTGGATAGGGCCAATTTCAGGCTTATTAGTTGGTCCTCAAAATGATGTCTGGAATTGTATGCCAAATACTAGTAAGCGCCATGCCACCGTTAATCTTGACTCAGAGAATCTAGATGGTATGACAACCAAGGCCATTATAAGTGTTGAAGAAGAGTTTAGGGAGAGAAGATAGGTAGGGAATGAAGATAGGTATCCAAGTGATTGTTTTTTATCGGATGAGGACAAATGAGTAGTGCTAAATTTTTTTATACATAAGATGGATTTGTCTTTAGTTCCATCAAAGAAGAAAGGAAAACAAAAGAAGGAAGTTAGGAGTGAGGGAGCTAAAAAATTTACATTCAAGTATAAATTATGATGGTGGTAGTTGTAGGAGAGAGGGAGAGGGAACTATTGTTTGTATGAAGATAGTAAGCTAGAATATTAGAGGGTTAGGGTCGTGCAGGAATAAATGTTCAATTAAGGAGTTTTTGGGAAGGATAGGGTCGGACATAGTGATATTGTAAGAAATTAAGTTGGAGATGATTGATAGGAGAGTTATTAGTGGTTTATGAGGGTATAGATTTAGGAATTGGGTTTTGACATAGTGATATTGTAAGAAATTAAGTTGGAGATGATTGATAGGAGAGTTATTAATGGTTTATGAGGGTATAGATTTAGGAATTGTGTTTTTTTACCTTCAATGGGGAGTTTAGGTGGTATTGTCATTATTTGGGAGGGAAAATTGGTTGTTGTTGAAGAAACTCTTGAAGGGGAATATACTTTATCGATTAGAATTAAACACAAAGAGGGCTTTGATTGGTTGCTTATTGGTATTTATGGGCCTAATAGACCTAGTAATAGGTTTTCTTTGTGGGAATAGTTAGTAGGGTTGTTTGAGATTTGTAGTCGTAGGTGGTGTATTGAGGGAGACTTTAATGTTTTAAGATACCCAAATGAAAAGCTGAATGGGGAAAGAATAACAAAAAGTATGTGAGACTTTGATTCTTTTATTAGGGAGATAGAACTTAGAGATCCTCCTTTGACCAATGGTATGTTTACAAGGTAAAATTTAAGAACAAAGGCGGTTTGTAACAAATTAGATAGATTTTTGTATTCTGTTGGGTGAGAATATTGTTATCCAGGGGTTAGATAGGAGATTCTGTCTAGGGTGGTCTCAAATCATTGTCCTATTGTGCTTGCGGATTTTAAAGTTAGATGGAGACTATGTCCTTTTAGGTTTGAGAATATATGGGTTGAACTTAGAGATTTTAGAGGAAGGATTAGAGATTGGTGGAGAGAGGGAGGGGTTTAGATTAATGAAGAAACTTGGGATTATAAAACATTAGTCAAAGGTGTGGAATAAAGAGGTGTTTGAGGATGTTCGTGAAAGCAAAAATAATTATTTTGGATAGTATTGAAGAAGAAGATAAGATTGATAAAAGAGGGGGTTTGGATGAAGGTTTGAAAATGTAAAGAAGACAGCTTGGGAGTAAATGAGTGAAAGAAGGTGATAACAACACAATTTTTCCATAGAGTGGCAAATGACAATAAGGTGAGGAAGATCATTTATAAATTGGAACTTGATGGTAGGTCAATAATTGAGGATGAATGTTATTGCGAGGGAGATTATTAGTTTTTATGCTAGGCTATATTCGGCCTAGGGAGGTTCTAGACCTATTTTGAGAGGTCTTGAGTGGAGCCTTATTGAGGGTAAGCTTGTAGGGTGGATAGAGAAACCTTTTGAGAAGGAGGAAGTAAGGAGAGTGATGTTTGAGTGTGGTAGAGAAAAGGCTCCCGGGCTGGACAGGTTTATCATGGCCATATTTCAGGTTTGTTGGGATAATATGAAAGAGGATTTGATGAGGGTGTTTGATGAAGAGTTACAAATGTCACATTTATGTCTTATCTTGAAAAAGTTCATTCTCTAAAGTTGAAGGATTTTAGGCCTATTAGTTTTAGTTACAGGCCTGTACAAGATCATTGCAAAAGTGCTTTTTAGGAGGCTTAGTGAGCGTTTGAGTGGCACAATTTCAATTTGTCAGGGTAACTTTTGTGAGGGGGAGACAAATTATGAATGTAGCACTTGTAGCTAACGAGGTGGTAAGGAATATAGTGCCAAAGGACGGGAGGATTTTGTGTTGAAAATTGATTTTGAGAATGCATACAATCACGTGGATTGGACTTTTCTAGACTTTGGGTTGGAAGCAAAAGGAATCGGAGTGAGATAGAGGAAGTAGACTAGGGGTTGCTTAGAGTTGGCCAATTTTTTGATCATTATGAATGGGAAGCCAAGGGGTAGATTTAAGATATATGGGGCATTTAGATAGGGGATACTTTATCACCTTTTTTGTTCACTTTGGTGGTGAATGGGTTGAGCAAGTTGATGGAAAGGGTGGAGAGACATAACTTGATTAAAGGATTTGTTATAGAGAGGAAAAGAATTAAAGTTTCTCATTTGCAATTTGTAGATGATTCTATTTTCTTTTCTTCTGGGGATGAGCATAGATTAAGTAATTTAAAGTTAATTGTTGATGTGTTTGGCGTGATTTCTGGGCTTAAGGTTTATATGGATAAGAGCATTATTGTGGGTATTAAGTCTAGAGGAGAAAAGGTTACTAGAGCGGCTATTGAGTTGGGGTGTTTGGTAGGGGAGTGCCCAATACAATACTAAGGACTTCCTTTAGGTGGTAACCCAATGTCAAGGACTTTTTGGGATCCTCGTGTTGTGAAAATTGGAAAAAGGTTAGATGCATGGAAAAAAATCTTTTATTCCCAGGGTGGTAGATTAATATTGATTCAATCAGTTTTGTTAAGCATTCCTATTTACTTCATGTCACTTTTTAAAATGTTTGGAGTGGTGGCTAGAAAAATTGAAAGTTTAATAAATGATTTTTTGTAGGAAGGAGTAGGAGAGGGTAGGAAGGACCATTTGATTCGTTGGGAGGTGGTAACTAGACCAAAAGATAAGGGAGGCCTTTCAATTGAAAATTTGGTGAACTGCAATGTTGCCTTGGTTGTGAAATGGCTTTGGAGGTTCTCTTTGGAGCAAGATTCATTGTGGCATGCCGTTATTAGGAGTAAGTACGGATTGCAGAATAATGGGTGGGATGTTAACGGGGAAAGGGGTACTTTTTTGGAGTATGTGGAAGTTCATTTTCAGGGTTTTCCTTCTTTTTCATAGTGGCTAGTGGGTAATGGAACTAGAGTCCGTTTTTGGGAGGACATATGGGTTATTGAGTCTTCTATCTCTAATCTCTTTCCAAGATTGTATCGTGTCTCTTGTTTTCAAAGTCGATTGGTTACATTTATGTTTCAATCCTTTTCTACTCCAATTTCTTAGGATTTTGGTTTTTGTAGGAATCTCAATGATAGGGAGTGTTCTGAGTTGATGATTCTCCTTTCTATGCTTCATAAAGTTTCCTTGATTTAAAACTATGAGGATAGGAGGTATTGGATTGGTAGTGTGACTGGGATTTTCTCTTTTAAATCTTTTTGAGTCTTTAATTGATGATTCCTTGATTCCTTTTTTCGATCCATCATTGAAGATTTGGAGGATGAAGGTGCCTTTAAAGGTGCAAGTTTGTGCAGAAATAATTTCTAATGCGAAGATCAGTGCTAATGAGATTCTACAAAAGAGGACCCAAATCATTGTCTTCAACCACAATGGTGCTTTACGTGTAGAAGTGAAAATGAGAATGCTGATCACCTTTTTTTGTATTGCACTTTGGCACAAATGCTTTGGAACAATCTTTTTGATTTTGTGGGTTTCTCTTGGTTGCTCCAAGGACCATGATTTCTATGTTTTGCATGGACAATGTGGGATTTGAAAGGAATGGTAGATGGAAGACTATTTGGAATAGTGCTTTCTTTGCTATACTTTGGGTGATTTGGAAGGAAAGGAATGCTAGGACTTTTTAGGATAAGAGTAAAGAGTTTGAGGATTTATGGGATATAATTTATTTTTGGCATCTTTTTGGGCATCAACTTCTAAGGATTTTTAAGATATTCTTCTCTTTTGTATCAAAACAAGCTTGAAGGCATCATGTGGCTTATAGTTTGCTAATTGTTTTTATGTTTTATGTTTGTGTTTGTTTGGATTGCTCGTCCACACTTATTTAATTTTATTGTATGATCTTTTGATTATCAATAAAGTTGTGTTTCTTATTGAAAAAAAAAGTTTCTTTCAATTTTTTGTCAAGTGTCTAGCACCCAAATCCATTTATCCTGAGTTTTATATTTCAATCCTAAGCTGAGATAATATGCTGGAGACAAAGGTTCATAGTATATAAGTAGAATAACATTCTCGGGGAGAGAATTTGCGTTCATGTTATTATGGTTATCTTTTTTTTTTTTTTTTGGGGGGGGGGGGGGGGAGGGGGGACTTGGACCAAAGGCCTGTTAATTGTTACTATGGTTATCCACATGTATTTATTTATTTATTTTTGAGTGTGTTAGCTTAATGGATTGATTAACGTCTTGGTATATAAGATTTAAAAGTTATGATGAAGTCTTGGTATGTAAGAAATTTATTTTGTGGGGGAGAGAGTTTATGTTTTCTTGTTCTGCAAAAAGTTTGTATTCTGAAATGCTATTCAAGCAGATTGTTACATCTGAGAATGTTTCCTTTGCACTGGCTGGCCATAAATTTATGAGATGAGGTCTTTTCCCTTTTGAGAACCTTTTTTACAATTTATTTCCTTCTCTTTTGTAACTTCGCTTTTTAAGTTTTTTGTCTCATGCTTAAACAAATCTTCTAACGATTTTCTTTTTAGTTCAGTCCACTGGAGATGATGGGTGCCTGGCTGTAGACTTCTTTACTTTTTCATCTAGCATTGCTGAACATTTGAAAGCAGCATCTCTTGTTATCAGTCATGCTGGTGAGGTTTTCTTATTTTCATTTCTTTTTCTTCTTGAATTTTTTGTTTTGTTTTGGGGTGTTGGGGGTGGGGAAGGGAAATATGATTGCTGCATAACATTGCATGCTTTTTATACCCTGGTCTTCTAGATCCAATAAATTGGGCTTAATTTGGTGAATGACTGGTCCATTTTCAAAAGGATTCCTGCCTAATGGATATTATTTCTATCTGTAAATTTGAATTCCATAAACAAAATCAATGTGCTGTGTGATATTCTAGCATCATTCACATATCATCGGCTCAGACTATGTTTTTTGCTAGAAGAAGCCAAGATTTT